TAAAAATGTCAAGGGGAACCTTTACCTTTACCTAATATTTTAAGAGCATATATAGAGAGAGAGTGAGAGAGAGCAGAATAAGAAAGTAACAGGCAGGCTGTGGATTCAGTAGTCAGTCGGTCTTCCCAAACTCAAGAAACAGAAGTGGAGGTTGCTAGAAATTCTCATTGGAAATTTTTTTTATGGAGACATTGTTCATTTTTTAATAATGAAATGGATTCTAACACAGTTTAATATGTGTAAGAGAGTGTGGGGGGGAAACTCAAGAGGTTTTCTTGCAGCTCTGTCCTGGCATTTGATCCTGTGTTATTATTGTTGGCTGCCAGAAATCCTGATGGAGGATAATATGCTAAGAGCTGGGCTGGCAACTCTGAATAAATTTCCTTGCAATTCAGCAGCTTTCCCTTCTCCTGCTTTCCTTTCCTTGCAAATCTTTCCCTTCTTCACCTAACCAAGTCCAAGTTAAACAGAGCATCCTGCCATGGTCTCCTCTGAACGCACACAAGCCCTTTCATGAAGACTGACAGTATGATCTGTTTACTTGTTATCGTGACCTGTATCGCAAGAGCTGAGGGCGGTTCTTTGGGGTTGTTTTGATCCAGAAAATACTGAGAGGTCTAAAGTTACCTGGTGAGCTTAGTGGCTGAAATGGAGTTTCTGGCCCTTCTTTCACAAGCAAGTTAATAAAACATACTTTTTTGAAATTCTTTGGTCACTTTTTGTAAAAAAGGATTTCACCACCATAAAATCTGAAACAATGTGTTAGTAAATTAAAGAGTGTGTGTGTTTGTGTGTCTGTGTGTAGCGGATGTTAGGCATCCTTCAGTCTCAAGAGACTATGGTAACATGCTCTATATGGAGGACTTGGAACAGCATCTAGTGTGGCTGAGAAGGCCAATTCGAGAGTGGCAATCCCTTTCCGATTGTTTTGACGCTGTATGCGAAGCTGGAATGCCCTCTCCAGAGCACAAAGGTAAAAGTAAAGGTTCCCCTTGACAATTTTTGTCCAGTCGTGTTCGACTCTAGGGGGCGGTACTCATCCCCATTTCCAAGCCATAGAGCCAGCGTTTTGTCCAAAGACAATCTTCTGTGGTCACATGGCCAGTGCGACTTAGACACGGAACGCTGTTGCCTTCCCACCGAGGTGGTCCCTATTGATCTACTTGCATTTGCATGCTTTCGAACCGCTAGGGTGGTGGGAAGCCGGAGAATGAAGCCTGGGTAAAATAATGTGGAGGATAGGCTGTTACCCAAGCAGCAAATCCCCTCTCTTCATGTCGCTGAAGTAGTCCAATGGAAAGGTAAGAGCCAATATAATTGGTTCCAGTGACGTCGCAAGAATTGGCAGAATGACGCAAACTGCCTCCGGGACTCCAGCTCCAGATGTTGCCTCGAGGTTAACTCCCGAAGCCTTTTCCATAACTGGATATAGCCACAAGGCAGTGGAGGTTTGAAATTGGAGTTTTCCTTCTCCTTGATGGGCTGCCTTCCAGGGCTGACGAGCCCCACCTACCCGGCTGTGCTTCACTAGACAACATATAACTGCAATATGATCTCTAACACCTCTTCCTTTTCTAAATTCACATTAAACGTCTGGGATTTCTTGCTCCCCCCTTCATGGATTGCTACCTTGTTGTGCACCTGACATGTCCGTGTAGCCGATAGAATAACAAAATAGGACTCAGGAGGCCTGAGGTCGAATCCCTGCTTGGCCAGGAAACTATTGGGGATATATATCTTGTAAGCCCTATTAGGACATGGGTCTAAAATATTATTTACAGTATTTGTGAAACCACCTGATCTTTCTCAACCTATCCTTCCTAAGGGAGGTGATGTAAAGAGAATAACGAATGGTCTCCTTGGAGAAAGAGCAAGATAGCGTAATTAATAACTTGCCATCATTGGGAATGTTACTTTTTGGATACAGCTCCCAGCGGTCATGCTGGCTGGAGGATTCTGGGAGGCGTAGTCCATATAGCAACATTTCTAAATTTGTAATGTGTTGGTGGCAATGTTTGGAAAGAATACATTTGACTGCTGGAAAGAACCGTTAGCCTTGAAAATATGTGGATGCTCTGCATGCTCTCTGTTCCTCTGACTGCTGTTTCCTTCACTTAGGCTCAGACATGGGAGGTGATGCTCGCAGCTGGAGAAATGTTATTCTTTGTGCCCAGTTGCCAGCCCAAGGAACACGACAGCTTTCCTAGATCTCCAGGCTGGAATTGGAGCTGACTGCAAGGTCTTCCAACTAAAACAGGCAAGATTGGCCAAGTCGTGATCGCTACTTTTGGAGTCTTTATTGTAGACTTGGAAGAGTTGGTCAGCTGGAGAATCCAACCAAAACAGCCCGTGCCAGCTGGATGGAGACTGGGAAGGTGTGTCTGCCTAAAAAGGATCTCATGCAGCAGCACCACCACCACCTGAAGTGCAGACAAGAGAAGACACTCTCGCCTCCCTTGGCGTACCTGGCTTTCTCCTTAGAGCTGTTGCTTCTGGCTTGGCCCTCCCATGCCAACCCTGTGCCCACTCCTGCTGATGAAAGTGGAGAGGTTGTGGTGAGTTCATCCAGGGCATTATAAAATCAAAGGTACTTTCTGGAATGCAAAAACAAACGTGGGTAGTCATCATTAAATCAGCTTCTCCAACCCAGCAGCCCTCCAGATATGCAGCCCTCCAACACCATCTCTCTTTTTAAGGACAGTCTTTCCACATCAGTCTTTTCATTGGTACCTTTGTAATATCATTGTCCTTTACAAATGTGCAGGTTGCATATGCAGTTGTAGTAGCAGAGGAGGAAGCACAAAGTCAGGCTTGATCCCCAAGGACATGAGCACTTTGCAAATATAAACATGTTAGTTAAATCCGAAAATGACTTGTTACCTCTGTTGCACACACTGTCCCATGCTAAATTGGCTTCTGGTCCCTTTTGGACTGTAGTTGGGTACCGCTCCAAGGTACAGTCGTGTCTGCTCCAAGAGGTTTTGTCTCCTAAAGAGGAGAAGAGGGGGGATGTCTGGCATTCTGTGTACTAAAACTGACCTGACTGTGCTTCAGTGCTGCAGGTCAGATAGTATTCATCAGCAGTCCTAGGACAGGAATGGCTGGGAGCTGTGGCATGAACAGTCAAGGATGTCTGCTTCTGTTCCCAACATTTAAGGCCAGAGGCATTTGCATCATTGTACTTAATGGTAGGACTGGGCCCGAGCAGAGACAGAGCAACTAATAGTCCATTCAGGAAACTTGTGAAGCCTTTGCAAACAGTGCACTCTCTACATTAGAGGAGAGAATAGTAGCAGAGGAGCAAGCACAAAGTCAGGCTTGATCCCCAGGGACATGAGCACTTTGCAAATCTAAACATGTTAGTTAAATCTGAAAATGACTTTTTACCTCTGTCGCACACACTGTCCCATGCTAAATTGGCTTCTGGTCCCCTTTGGACTGTAGTTTGGCACCACTCCAAGGTACAGTCGTGTCTGCTCCAAGAAATTTTGTCTCCTAAAGAGGAGAAGAGGGGGCCCGTCTGCCATTTTGTGTACTACAACTGACCTGACTACCTACCTGTTCAGTGCTGCAGGTGGGATGGTATTCATCAGTAGTCCTAGGACAGGACTGGCTGGGAGCTGTGGCATGAACAGTCAAGGATGTCTGCTTCTGTTCCCAACATTTAAGGCCAGAGGCATTTGCATCATTGTACTTAATGGTAGGACTGGGCCCGAGCAGAGACAGAGCAACTAATAGTCCATTCAGGAAACTTGTGAAGCCTTTCCAAGGCACCACTGTAGTCCATTCAGGAAACTTGTGAAGCCTTTGCAAACAGTGCACTCTCTACATTAGAGGAGAGAGAGCAAAATGAGCTTACAGTAGTAGCTTCACACACAGAGAGATACACACATGGAAGGTATTCTCATCATCCTCCATGTGTAGAGAGGGATTTTCTGCAGTAATGGGGCTCCATAAAGGCTGTACTCAAGAAGCTCAGTTCTTTGCAAACAGTGCATTCTCTACATTAGAGGAGAGAGAGCAAAACGAGCTTAGTATCTTCACACACAGAGAGACACACAAGGAAAGTGTTCTCATCATCTTCCGTGTGTAGAGAGGGATTTTCTGCAGTGAGGGGGCTCCATAAAGGCTGTACTCAAGAAGCCTGATTTTCTACAAGTCTTAATAGTTTGGAGAATCTCTATAGTTAGGGAAAGCTCTCTGCTACAGACAGTTGCTCTCTGCATGCGGAGGGTGGTGAGAACAATGATGAAGAGAGGTGGACGATAGAATACCATGTTCATATGACCATTCTTCCTCCTTACATGCATCCTCTCCAGGCTAGAGCATAGAAAACATATTTTGGGGGACTGTCAGTTATAAAGCTATCCAGCAATTAAAGTGAGGAACATCTTTTAATCTAGATTTTAGTGCTGGAACTTCCTGCTAAGATAAAAGGACAGATTGAAAGTGGGGGAATTCCCAACATTCATCACAATGTTGACCAGTGTTTTCTACTTGTTACCTGAAGGCAAAATTGGAGCCTATGTTGACCAGTGTTTTCTACTTGTTACCTCTGTCTAGGAGTGGCTGACTCAGTATGGGTACCTTCCTCCAGCTGATCCAGTGACAGGCCAGCTGCAGACCTGGGAGGCTGTGACAAGTGCCATCCGCATCATGCAGCGCTTTGCAGGAATTGCAGAGACTGGGGTCCCAGGTAAACTGAAACACTGAGGAACTGGGAGTGCCTGCTAGTTCCACCAGGTGCCTTAAATGTTGGCATCCACACTTCTGCTGGAATGTCAGAATCGTGGAATTGAAAGTGACCTTTGGAGCTATATCTAGATATATTGTCCTATATTGCAGGAGTGGGCAGCATTTTGTTGTTTCAGGGAAAATGCATACATACATGGTGAGATAACCTATCAAGGAAGAGCTGATTCTTGAAATATATCTTGACCCCCCGCACGAGAACGAGAAAAGAAAGAGGTTTGATTTGTGTTTTGTGTGAGTGAATGAGAGAGGGGAGTTTCTGCAATTTGTACAACATATCTCTGAGCAAAACCCATTTGACTTTGTGAAGCTTGTTCCATGGCTGGAAAAAAACAAAACCATTGGGAAAAACCAAATACAACCATGTAGCCGTTAGATAATACAAAAGCAAGGACAGGCTTTTTTTGTTTATTTATTTTTTCATAATCTAATAAAGGTATCACCTGTCCTTGCTTTAGCATTAGCACGTAGACAGTTTAGCTAAAACCAACATCTCTGCAATTTCCATTTATTGCTTGTCAACTCATTGCCCTTCAGAGGAGCAGAGGATGTTCATGTGGCATCCGTGTGTCAGCCCTTCAGATGTTTTGAAGACAAACAGTTATACCAACTTTAATCCTCGCTTTTCCAAATTAAACATAAACAGCTTGTTCAGTTCTTCTCTTAAGGTTTTCAGAACTTTCCACACAGACCTGATCAACCTACTGAAATATTTTTTATCCAGTTTGACATATTGTAGGCAGAGGTCAGCATCCTCCCATGGCCTGTAAACCGCAGCTGACTGTCAAGACCAGAGAATCTTTATCTTCTCCTATGATAAATTCCTCGTCAGGATTGGCAACAGGACCACACCACTTCAGACTGGGGGGGGTAGACATAACTCAGCAATGTTTCCCTATCAAAAAACAAAAAAGCACATTGCATATGGAAAAAAAATCAGTGTATCAGGGAAGGCTAGCTAGGACCTTTCTTGTTGAGTTGTAAATTGAATTTAAATATGGAAGAAAATTCCACCCCACCCCCCTAAAGTGGTACAATCCAGGCTCATGTTTGCTACTTCAGGGACAATTAAGGCAATTTTTCTCAATAGTCTGAACACAGAGTGATCCAGAAAAGATGACTTTTTGGAGCCATATGGGTCTGCTACCAGGAAAGGTTTTCTCAGTGGTGGTTTCCAGCTGTGGAATGGGCACTTCACAGATCCTTACCTGGTACCTTATGATCTTTCTTGCACCAGGTGACGACCTTTAAATTTTCCCCCCCTAAGGTTTGTATAATCTTGAAATCTAAAGTTTGAATCCTAGAATTTATTTTATTTATTCTTGCTATGCCTGCGAATATTTGTTCAAGTCAATATAATTCCTTACCATACAGTATATTGTTCCTTTTAATTTCATTTGTCCTTTCTTTGAATTCAAACAGATGATGCCACGTTGGCCATGATCCGAATGCCTCGGTGTTCACTGCCTGATGTTATCACCCCGTTCCCAGAAAAACTCCCTTTGAGGAAAAGTGGGAAGAGAAAAAAGCGGAAGAGAAGGAAGAGTCGGAATAGGAGGAACGCCGGCTCTGTTTGGACTAAGAGGAACATCACCTGGAGGTAAGTAGCCAGAAGGCAGGTACCTTGGAAAGAGAGGTCGTAACTGGCTTTGGGATGGGATTCTGCCCTCTGCCCCTCCTTGGAAAAAGTAGCCTCGTTTGGATTTCATCTCACAGAACCCTGTTGGCCAGCATGACCAAGGGCTGTGTTGACTGATTCAAATGAACAGCCATTTTGTTGTAAGGGGTTAATCTTTGCAATGCTAAAGGATTGTTCAGGTCATATTACAGTTAAGATGTTAAAGGGTGCTGTCGGGCCACTTTCAGCCCAATTGCATCCCATCTTGTTCGTTTTCAGACTTTCTTATCCAACAAACAACAAACTTTCAGTGACTTCTGGTGACAGCAGTACTTGCTTATTCTTACTGGTGATTTTGGCATTCCCTTCTGGTTTGCTCTCTCCCACCTTGAAACCACCTTCTACTGAATTTGAACTAGTAGTGTTAGTCCAGTCAGAGGTTGGGAAAGTTACTTTTTTGGACCACAGTTCTTAGAGTCATTCAGTGAGCATGCCACAAAGTTCTTGAGTCCACTGCTGTGTGGCCGGCGGTGTGCTGCTCTCCAGCGTTTGTGTTATACTCTGCGTAGTTTGATCCACATGATGAAAGGGAGTGTAGGGGCGGCTTCTTTTCACAGTGTGAGGTTGGACAAGATGCCCTTTTGTTGGAGTCACGAACTTAGCAGGCTGATGGGCTTTGTGGTGATCACCCAATAATTAGTCACTTAGAAATAGAGGTTAAAGAAGTCAGCCACACACACAGGGAAGTCTGCCAGCAGTGGTCCTGGTGGGCGGCTAGTAGAAGAGGCAGAATAACACTAAATGTGTTCCCAATGAATTCTGCCCTGGCCCCCAAGGAGGACTGTGCTTTTACTAACCTTACAAGCTCACAGATAGTGGACAGTATACAGATAAGTTACAGAGTTCAGATAGGACAATGGTTGCATCATGTCATTATAATTGGCCTAAGGAAAGGCTCTATGCAAGCTCTCTAGCACATATGAGAAAGAAGAATGGTGGGCAGGCATGCCCCTCAGAAGCAGCTGTGACGTCATCCAGGAGGGTTTGCCCTCTACTGTAGATGAAGCCAACAGCTTAGCAACGTTGGGAATGGCACCCCCACACCCTTTCGGTTAATTTAGGAGGAACAGGAAAAGGGATTTAAAGGCCAGCCTGAGACATTTTGCAATGTTGGAGCTCCAAATGCCAGTTTCCCCACTCGCCCAAATTGTGATGTGTGCTACTCAAAACCAAAGAAGTGACTTTACATGACACAAGAAATCCACATCACCTCTCCAAATCCATGGCACGGAAAATGTAATAATAAAATCAAGAAGCTAACCATTTGTTGCCCTTTCAAAACAATCAAAATTTGGTGCCTCAGGCTACTACCTCGTGCTTTCTAGTGCTGGTCCAGTTTGAGCTTATGATGCGAAGCTCACATTCCCCATGGTGCCTGGTTTAAAGTGCAGTGCTGCAGTCAAGCCTCTGCTTATGAGCTCGGTTTGATCCAGATGGATTCAGGTAGCAGCCGGCCCTAGGTTGACTTAGCCTTCTAAAGTTGGTGAAAGGAGTACCCATCTTGTTGGGGGATAGGTGGGCAAAGCATTATTTGAATAATTATGTTATAAACTGCCAGAGTGCTTTAGCACTATTGGGCAGTATATAAGTCAAAAGAACATACAAAGCTTCAAGGAAATATATTTGAAGTGACTGACTCATTGTGAATGGCTTTTTTTTTTGCTAATGTCAGAAATGAAAGCGATTTATGCAGTGTGATATATTTAAATGCCTTTGCTGCTACTCCTTGCCAAATACAACTACTAGTATTGTTGATACTACGAGGGGTAGAACATTCATGTCAGGAGAAATCCCTCACACTGCTGTGTGATGTAGAACAAGCCTTTATCATAGTATGTCACTCAAGCACATGTAGAGCAGAAGATTACTTGGGGATTGGCCAAAGAAACCAATCCGACTGTCATGACTTTAATCCAGCTGTGTTCAAAGTTGCTTTCACATAATAAAATGAATAAGGGGCCCTGAAAGGCTGAGCTGCTTTACAGAAAGAAGGATTCTGTGCACGAGAGAAGAGAAGGAGAGAGAATGGATACAGCTAAGAAGGCAGGAACTTTCTAAGATTTGTTTGGTGGAAAGGGAGAAATGTAGAAAATGCTGCAAAATGTATGTGCGTGGCCACTTAAAATTAATACAGCAAAGCTGTTAGCAAAATGATGTATAGTGTGAAAGCTGGGGTTTGTAATACCTTTACCGGGCCATTAAAATATCATATATCATACAAAGATGAGCTTTGAATCTTTACCAGACAGAGAATTACAGAACTGGTGGTGGCAGTGCTAAGGAATAGAAAAGTTCAGGAAAAAAAATTTTTTAGATGTTGAAGTTGCAGGATCATTTGTTAAAAGTTGCACAAGATACTGCAAACTGGTGATCAAGTTTCACTCCAGGCTATGTAGCATCACTTGTCTTTAATACATCTCTTTAGACAAAGCAGAGCCAGCCACTCAAGTAAAATGTGCACTGCCTTTTGTCAAAACACAGGCCACCCCCTCCCAATCAACTTCTGCACTTCAGCCCCTAACAAAAGTGCTTCCAGGAAAAATGGCATCCCTCACACACTTTAGAGGAATCGACATGCTTAGGAGAAAACCACTAAGATGTACAGAAGTGAAACCAATCTG